GTCACCATCACAGTGCCCACTGTCATCAGGTTGCCACAATGAGTGACATACAAGGTCTACTCTTTATATGTCACAATTGTCTTTTTTTGGGGGGGATGTGACCCCCGGAATCTCCCCCGGGGGAGGGGGGGCTATGCCACTGCTGGCCATTAGTACAAAAGTAAAAGAATAACTCACAAAATGTTAAAAATTCCATGCAGCTATCAAAACACTACAATAATACATATTCCATTGACTAATAAATGAAAATACAAACCTTTAAAATTCGTGGGACGAATGTACATTTTGCAAGAATGTGAGACAATTATCGAAAATCAATCAAAAGGCAATTTTTTCTGCAAACTTTGCCCTCCATACAAATTGTAGGTAAAATGAGAGAGGTCTATATCAGAACCGAGTGCTAAGCTTGCTCTTTCTTATGCAAACTGAACAAAAATTATTGCAAAAAAATATGGCCTTGTGACTCATTCTCAAAGTACAGGTCTTATACCCAATAAATCCAGAGAAATTTGCACTTTAATCGTTTGGGTTGTAGCAAAGCTTCACCAACAGCCGATGGTACGCCGTTTTCTTAATCACCCAGTGAGAGGGTCCAGGCACAGAGGTTAATTGGAAGGGTAGCTGCAATTATTTTTTTCTTTTAAATACGAACCTCAAAATGCACCTTTGTGTCTCACTGAACATTTCAATTTTTGGTGCACTATTTCCAAGCATTTTTTTTGCTGCTTCTTTGGGGTTTCATGCAGAGAATTTCCATATTCATGAGCAAAACTGTGATGTCATTCCAGGAAGAAAACCAAAATATTACTATGATTTGTGCATAAACACTCTTGCAATTCTTTTAAAGATTTTGCTGGCCTGAATTTTCTCTTTGGTGATTCACTGTTGTGTAGTGAATGGCAAGTGCAAGCAATAAACCTTTTCTCTGAGATGTTTTCAGTGACTAAGTTCTGGGCTCGCTATTTGAACAGAAAAACCTATGCACCAAAGCATGTTGTTACAGCAACAGTACCCTCAGTTTTCCAAGAAAGCATGGTTGATTTTAAAAGTAAAAAAGCGCACTTATCAATACATTTGACCTGACAGATATGTCAAATAGTGTTCATATGTCGAAGAGTAACATATTGCAGAAAAATTATGTCCAAGAAGAAAGTCACTACAGCTACACTTCAAAGATCTTACTCTGTGTTTGCATCCGTGCTGGACAAATGGGCAGCTTGCCATGGAGGAGGGGCAGGAATCCTTAATGTGCTTGTCAACTTCTTCCCTGGCTATCTTAGCCGAGTCGCAGCGGTTTGGGCAACAGACAGGGTACCGGGGACACTGATGGAGATGGCTCTGCAAAGTGAGAGATGAGAGATGATGTTTAAATATTTACTTCAAGATACCCACACTTGACCATCCAGAATTAGAGACCTTTTGTACTTAATAATGCATTTTGTAAAAGCATTTTCCTTTTCTTAAGTGGTGACCTATAGTGTTTATGTTTCAACTTGTTTATGTTCCAACGTAAAACGTGTCTAAAAATGCAGAAATTTTCTTTGTTGAGACTGTGGTTTCCATGTTGCCCTGAAAATCATATACAGTACGACCTCTTTAATGCAAACTCTTTTGACGAGGAATTGTTTGAACTAAATATCTGGTTTACCCATACTGAAAAACAGATGGACTAACAAATGAATATTGTGCCAGGCCTGTCGGCTGGGGGGGGTTCAAGGGATTCGAACAACCCCCCTCCCACTCGCTTCTGAGTTCGGCTTGTTGGGCTTTTTCTTTGTACTGAATATTTTAAATAGACCGTAATATTCAGCACCGTAATATTCGGCATACAAGCCACGGCTTATACGTTGATTCTCAAGCTCAAGGTGACCACGATTCTGCATATTAATTGAGTCAATCTCCAGTCATATGTACCGTCAGGAAGTTCCGGCAAATATCCCCATTTCAGGTGTTTCAAAGGGTTTGAAATCAATGTATTTTTGTTAAGTTAATTCAATATTGAAAACTGCAGTGCACAAGTCTTACATGCAACCTTCAGTTCGCGACAGACGTGAAACTTTTCAATGTTGTTTTCCAAAGCACATTGTGATAGGCCTTTGTATAAAAATATGTATTCACAGTGCCGAAAGTTCCACTTTTGGGTTTGACAACCCCCCCCCAGTCTCTGGTCAGGCAACAGGCCTGTGTGTACACTTTAACAAGGAGAATTTTAACAACAAGAGGGTACGTTCACATCATTTTGACAGAGACCAAAACTTTTCCGGTATACAATTTCTCTGTGATAGTTATATGTTCAGGCCAATGGTCCAACCAGACTGGCAAACGGACTGCACAAATCGTAGAGCTAACGCTATCAGGATACAGGTAAGTCTTATCACTGTTTATTTGAAAAAGTCAAACTTTGGGGGGATCTAAAGTTCAGATCTGGTATGTGAAAGAGAAAATTACAGTTAACGATGCCGGTTTTGGTTCAGTTCCCTCTAAACATTAGTCTCTGTCAATGTTATGCCTTCGTGCTCGCAGACACAATGCAGTCAGATCATGGACTACATACGCCTGTGGATACCATTAAAAGAATCTAAAAATGGGTCATTATGTGAGGCAGCTGGGGGTCTCTCTGTGGGGGAGGGCGACTGACAGAAGAGGACTTTTATTATCACTTCTTTTCAACCAAACAGGACCACATTACATCTTAGTCTGTCTACATACACGTAGGCCACAAAATGCTATGTGCAGTTGGCAATGTGTGTTATGCTTTAGACTGAAAAATGTAGTTTTTGTTTACTTGTTCACATTTCTAAAATTTGACGGAATGTGTGCTCCATTTCCTTCAAAAAACAAGGTCATATGAAAAAACTTGCCACATGGCATCGCACGAACTGCATTGTTGTGGGACTGGAGCTAAGTAAACTGTTCAACATCAAAGGTTACTTGTAGACAATTTTGAAAGTACTGTACAAACTCGTAACCAAAAATTTGGAGGTATGTCATAGGTTTATTAAGCTAATTCAGGACTGCCAGACAAAATCAACCGGAATTCGCTGCAAAATTTCTTCGACTTTAGACCAGCAAAGATCTGTATAGAACACATTATAAATACTATTGGAGAGCCTTAACTATGCTCTGAATGCTCCTACTTACATGCACATCCCCCTACTAGAATCATCACATGTACACACATCAGCCACATCAGAAAGACTGGCTATGGCTATACATGATGCGTGCCACTATGGAAGCTGCTTTATATCCCACAGACACACCTAGCTGTAGACTGAAGTAATACGGCCTTACCTGCAATGTGTCAAAAATGAATTCCTTGGCGCAGTACTTGCAGGGGACCTGTCTCTTGGGACATTCGTTCATCATGTGGGAGTTGATGTATCGCCGCTGCAGCTGTGCCCCACACTTGTTCTCACAGAAGACGACTTCCAGCTGACAACGCCCTGTGTGGTGCTGCAAGATCATGGGACCAAAGGAAAGACAGATAAATATAGACTATCCCAGTATCCCTTGAGGACTGGTTGGTTTGTTGACCAAAGAAGCTGGCAAAACAGCCAGCCAAACACTTTCACTAGACTGTATCGATATACTACATCATACCAACACTTCTATGTACATGTAGCTAATAGTGTGGAAACCAGCAAAACCACCATCCAGAAAATTAAACTTGCTTATCTTCTGACTATACCTTGCTAATCAGCCACTCGCCTGACCAACAAAACCACTGAACCACTGACCAATCTACTGCCAAACCAGTCCATCCAAGAGTCAATCCACAGGCCAACCAGCCAATCCACAGGTCAACCAGCCAATCCATGGTCAACCAATGACTGAGCAGCTGATCAACTGGCCTAGTAGCCGCTGTTTATCTCAACTAGCCAATGTTCTAGCCAACAAAATCAACATGATGGGTAACTATTTAACTCACAGGTCAAGTAGCCATTTCACTGGCCAGCTTTAACCAATCCACTAGCCAGCTGCCTATTCAGTGGCCCACAATCCACTTGACAAGCCAATTGATAAATATTGTGAAAGTGAGATCTTTCCTTACATCCATTCTCTGTCCTGGAAACTGGCCGCCACAGAACTCACAGGTTGAATTTCTCTTGGGACAGTCAAACTGCCTGTGATCCTTCAAATGGTTCCTAGCAACCATTGCCGAGCAGTCTGTGCAGGCGGCCATGTTGTATGCACAGGACTCCAGGTGGGGCTACAATGAAAACAGAAAACAAAAGCGAGAAGATGAAATGAGCTTTTCTTAACCAAACTCTGAAAGCAGTAAATCGGGTAATCGATACAATACATTAAAAGTGATGTTTTGCGGCAACTTTTCTGAAACACTTAGACATTTAAGACACTGTGATTTATGCGATAAAAAAACAGAGTTTCAACAGCCAGGACTGTCAGCTCACAACAGTTTATTTCCTCCTGAAATTGGGTAGAATGAGCAACTGTACCCTGCTTTCAATTACCAACATCCCACAAAGAAGTATAAAGAAATTTCGAACATACAGAGCCTATAATTAAATGGTCAAAGCTCTCTCATCACAGAACAGTTTGAGAGATATCCAATACCAAAGAAGAAAGCCGCTTCAGCAGAGGGCTGTATGCAAGCACTTTCAAATGCTCCAGTGACTTTTATGGCATGTCTCATTTTTTATACCTACCCATTCATCTCAACCCATAAATATCCAGGAGTGTATATTTACTATGCTTTCAGCTTCAGCGACCATTATTTAACGAGGTCTCTAAAGGCACATGAACGACAGCATAGGAAACCAAATTCAAGGCTCCATAATCATTTCTACATGTGTGCATGTGTATGGCAATATGTGGCAGTGTGCTTGAATGACCAATCCAAGTCTGTCGATGCACGCTTGGGTGACTTCAATTCTTTCCTTCACCACTAACATCTCATCATTCAATCACAGCAAATCATTACATCCATGATTGTGCAGTCCACCGCCAGTGTACTTTCGACAATGATGCCTAATGTACACACAGAAAATTATGCATTCCAAAAAACAGTTTCTGCATAAACCTGATGCACCACTCTGTGTATAAACAAAGAAATTCTTGTTTAGTTTTCTGACCCACTTAAAAGGGGCTTCACATTAAGGTAACCATGTTAGAAACATTCTTTGGACAGAATCATTTCATCACATACAAAATGTGCTCCTATGTTTTGGGACATACAATAAATTAAAACTTCCAAGCCACTCTGTGAATGATACCTCTCAAGTGTTACATGTTTACATAAGGCCAACTGTGTAAGCATGACGACAGTTCCCTTTCCAGCTTTCTCCACTCAAAAAAAAAAACACACACACACACTGGCACAGGAGCAATAAACACAGAAATGTGGGCTATTGTAAATAGAGAAAAACTGTCACTGGGACCGTGAATGTTTGAACTGAAACATGGATGACAGGGCTGCCCTGCTTTCTCAGATCAAACAGTGACAGGCTGTTTGAAGAGAAACACGAGATGGTTTGCACAGCGGAGGAAGTTCAAAGAAAGAGAACAATTTTTATGGGCAGACTGTGCGATAATCTTGCCCCCAGAATTATGCGGTGCAAATTTTATTGCCTTCCTGACAATTTTCAAACAGGAAGAAATACTTGGTGGGAAAATGACCTTCTTCCACAAATCTTTCGCCAGTAACTGCTTGCCATACAGCATTTTATGAATTACAGAAAAGAAGACACTACCTCACAACCCCTGTACACAAGACAATTCAAAGGGTGATTTTAGGGAGACAAATTAAAGTATAAATCATGGTACTTTGGTGTGACTCATGCAAGGCTTTTGTGTTTTAAAAGCACTATATTGTGCAATAACATTAGTTTGTTGAACAAATGTTAGTTTCACTTTTAATTTCATTATGTTCTATTGTATGTATTTCAATAAAGTAGCAGAGTGATAAATCAAAATCATCGCCAATTTGTCTTTTGTCTTTTGGGGCTAGACATGACTCAAGTTGAGCAACAAATGTTGAAAATGCTTTGTAAGGTTCCGTTCGAGCCATTCTGTCATTCAAGCCATTCATGTCTGAAGTTAATCTCACCCATTTTCCAATAAATAACTATTGTTAGCTCTCTCGTTCGTCTTATAACATTATTTCTCCATTTTGCCTTGGACGTAATTCAGATTACTGAATATCAAATACATGTATACATTTTTATTGTACATAGCCTACTAACCTATTTTATTCATTTTCATTTTTATACATGTATATGCTTTCATATTTGTGTTTATATACGGATTTATTTTTAACGGTTTTATGTTTGTTTTAACTATACCTTTCTCGTAAATTGCAATTTCCCTTGCTGTTGGAACTGGTTAATAAATAAATAAAAATGAATACATTTTGTGTTTCAAGTACAAACTTTTCGCTTACAGCATTTAGTAGTTATAATCCCTTTATGATAAGGGTATTACTTGTTACGGAACCTCAACAAGACATGAAGCACCCCAGCAATGGTGATTAATCTAAATATACATACAGACCATTCTCAGTTTGCCAACGAGATGTATGGGTGGCTCAAGTTTTCCCTTTGGTTAGTTTGGATTTCACCTCAATTTTGTTTGAAATTTATATTTGTCCAATTAATATTAAAGAGAGTTGTATTTTCATCTAGGGTTACGTCATAAATGATGGCAAGCCCCTAGTTTTAGGAGCCACTTGCAGGAAAAACACAGCTGTGTATTAAAAAGGAGACGATCCTATTGGGTTGGAGTACAATAGCTCTCAGAAGAGATTTTGACAGAAGGTATCAGTGAATAACCAAGATCCACTCAACCTTACAACATGCCATGCATGACCACGACACCTCCTTATCCAACCACACTAGGGATCCTTACTGCCTCCTGTACCTCGGTCCCCCTCCAACCCCCCCTCCCCCATCAGACAAGCCGTCGCCCGAAGACACCAACCCGCACATAATGGTGTCCAGGTCAGGTACCAAACCCAATTACAGACACTCAGGGGTCCTAATCAGATCTGCCAGCCAGTGGCGTCTAGCCGCTGGACTGTGCAAAATGAATCGGAAAGGAGATGGAGTGATACCAAGTGCGTACACACTCAAGGCAAGTTTTTTTTTTCATTTCAATAACTTCAAACATGTTTATTTTTTCATTAGATACAGCTGGGTATGCAATCAATATGCGGAACCCTATAAACTCAAACAGCCCTCTGAAGTAAGTACATAAAGTTGCGTCCATATTTTTTTCTTGGCTGATAGACTAAGCTGGGGGGGGTAAAGTCAGACACCACAGTACAATTTGAAGGCAGAGCCACATGTATCGTATCGCAGATATCGTCATAGCAGTGCATGACAAGATGAAGGTCACATGATCACATTTTCTCCTTATGGAGGGCCATCTGCAAGGGGTGCACACATACATGTTTGTCTTTCCACAGTCCCCCCTCCAATCCAGATTTGTCCCGCCCCCATTCATGTCAGAAAAATCATTGTCAATGTTGGTGGCGTGCACGTAGTGGGATGCTGTTTACGTAAAGGCCAAATAAGCATGCTCCTTCGAAGAGCCCGCTCATTGATTACTTGACCTGCACCAACACTAATGGCTGTGCCCTTTGACACAACGCAGCAAATATTCCCAAACCGATGCATGCATGTATACACATCATTCTATTTTGAAGACACTGTAGAAAATATAACGGCACAATATGTACAGAGCAGCATACTGAGGCATTGGGTCATATGGTGAAGGATACAAGAGGCTGGGTTAAAATAATGCTTTTAAATTTCCATTGTTCGATCCCAGTAATGAGTGTTTACAACAGTTCAAATCTGTTATTATGCAAATCAATTCACCTTTTCACCCAGATCATGGGTAATCATGTAGTAGTTATCCTTTCACGGCATCACGCCCACATTTATCCTTGTATCAAGCACAGCTGTTTGTCAGTGCTAAATTATTACACTTCATAAAAAAATGATGGAACTATTGTTATCCCTGTGATGACTGAATTGCCTAGAGAAGTGACTGGCCGTGACATCAAGATATGCTGTAAAATTTGACAGCTTTAGAAATAAAAACTAGTGATAAAAAATAAAACTGCCAATCATCGACAAGAAATATTGTTGATCAAAGCTGACACCTTGACAGGCCTGTGGATAGCAGGGGACTTCAGAACTGGGCATATTTCTCTTGAAATGACATTGGACATTCTACCAGACCCCAGGTGCTCAAATCCCCCAAGGCAGACAGGGTCTACAACCACCCAGGGACTGGAGAATGGTGGGATCATTATCAGTCACCAGTTAATGGGCCTCCTTGGTCAATGTGACAGGAACCTGTGTAAGGCTGACTAGGAGGTTGGAATGGGGAGTGGTGCATGGACAGATCCTGAAGTAATTTTTTTTTTGGGGGGGGAGGGGAGATGTGTTTTTGGGAGGCCAAAAATTTTGAATTCTTTCAATGACACCTCTAATGGCCTTTCAGAGGGGTGAGGCTACATTGGTAGCTTTTTACCGGAAGGGAAAAGATACGGACTAAAAAATTCTCCTTTCTCTCACTATTACAAAAACATGACTTTTTATTTGAAGGGGACAACAGGACAATTTTTACTTTCAGCAAAGAACAGATTACCAGCGTAAATGACATGCTATGTATGACTTGTGACCAGTTTCCCCAATGAGTTTTATGCTAAGGAGGAAAGTTCTCTCTCATAGCATAGCCTGGAGTGGCTTGACCATGGGCAGATAAACTTGAGCAAACAAGAGCTGAAAAGATGAAAACTTATCTATATAAGCTAACTTATAAAAGCTTTACAATTTAGACATTTGAAACTGCTTGGACACATTTCTAGGCTTATTTGATGATATTTATCTCGACAATAGCTCTTTTTTTAACCATCAAACTTCTACTGATATCATGAGGCTGCATTTTACTGGATGTGAAGTATGACTTTTTGAAAAAATCAAAAATCGGTACAAAAACTGCAAAAATAAGAGTAAAATCACCCTTCTCCAGACGAGTGGAATTTTCCACGATGTTTCAAGATTTGTACGTACATTAACATTCGAAAGAAAAGGACAAGGAGTCAGGCAGCTTCACACAACAGAGAGCTGTGCTCATTCAAAAGAGACGATGGCTACTGCATACAACCTTCAGTTTTTTTCCAGGCATCCATATGTAGACCATAAGGCTGATGATCCAACACTGTCATATGATATACACAGACTCCATACAGTAACAAACCATTAATATTTTAGAAGCACTCGGCAAGTTATTACAGTCTGACAGCTTATTAGAATAGAGAACAAGACCACACACAAGGAAATAAGCTGCACGAAAATGGATTGTCCGTTTTTGTGCACACTTTGATGTACAGCGTGGCCACAGACCCCACGACTCCTGTGTGCCTTTTGCGGATAACCGAGGCGTGAGTTTCGCAGATGACCCTCCGTGCGGGTGCCAAATCGCATCATTTATGCATGAGATTTTAGAGATGGTGGAAACTCCAGAATGGGCTGACAAAACTGACTCTCTTTGGAAAGCAGCTAAATTGAAAATTAATCTGCTTTTTCCACACACTTTCATGCCATCATTGCGACCAAAAATATCCTTCTTGGAAATGTTTTTGTGACCTTTTAGGCTGAGAATAACTTCTTTCTAGAATTGTTGGCACTTATATTAATTCCCTATATAACCACTACAGCACCAGCTCTGACCAAATAAAGAATGGAGGTTTGTAAAAGCAAGTTTGAAAAACTAAGGCTTAGGTGAAGTGTATTAAATTTGTAGAAACAAAGTACCAAGTTATGTTTTATTTCACTGGTTAACAAACAGCAAAGGAAACCAAAGAAACACAAGTGATACCAAACTATAGCTATAATTCCCATCGGAAGAGAAATCTCATCCAACAAAAATGAATTACGGACTGCACCTTGCTCCGTGCTGGAAAACACATCCCATGATGTCTGGGAAATATTCTTGGATCTCTTTACAAATGAACAATTTCCAGCTGAACAAAGGAAGTATTGTTTTGACAATTCCGTCCTTGCCTACTGCATGAATAAGGTACATGTACAGTACGGAGAGCTGTGCTTCATTATGAAACTGAACGAAGGGCTCAAGGGCTGATGGAATAGACATTTAGATCTTTCATGATATGCAGCAGATATGCCCATTTCGGAGGTACTGCAAGATCCATGTGCATAACTACACAAATTAGGGGCATCACACACACTATGAACTTGCATGTACATGTAAACATATGTATGTGTTCATTCACCGTGACTTTGTAAACACCGGTTCCTCTTTCACCTGATATGAATGTCGGTCAGGCTCCACTGCTCACAGGAAAATCATCTGCCAAGGTCATCACAATCCAGGTTTGATTACAGATGACAAAAACACAACCAACAGAAGAGCAAGTGTGAAACAGCCTTTCTTCTCCTTGTTATTGTTCCGCAATGTACAGTCCATACCATGGAGTTCCATAGTAAAACTGAATCAAATACGACTCTCTCTGAAAAGGTATACACAAGTCACAAGTATGACAAAATCAGTTTATGTGCAAGGTTGGAAAGCCCACAATGTTAGCTTTCATTCAGTGTGTGGCAGATCTCAATTTCCCATTCCATTTCAGGGATATGCTTTGTCTTCATATCAATTGTTTTCTACTCGTATTAAACTTACAAGTGAGAAAACAGGCTTTGAAAATGTTGAGTCGGATATGGACTTGGGCTGGGAGGATACACCTTAATCCATCCTGGCAACCAACTTGCTCATTTTGAACACTTCTGTTCATGGAACCTGAAACTCTATTATTGAAAGATGTCATTTCTGACAAGAAATGGCATTCCGCAAAGGACTTTGTCATATCAACTTTTGAGCGGGCTGTTGCACACAAAGGCATGGCGTAACTTATACCACCTTTTCCTGGAGTGGGTTGCAAATTAGAAACCAGAAAACACCTGCTCCATATTTCGAGAACCGGATAAAGCAAAATGATAACAGGCCAAGGAAACGAACAATCAGCGGTGCATTTCTGTACCTAATTTATCAGAAGTGTTGAAAACAAGAACGGAGTCAAGTCCTAACAGATGCCAGGTAACAATATATTGTAATGACATAAGCTCACACCAGAAATGCTGTTTTGTTGTCCCAAGCTGTCGCCAAATGAGACCAAGATGAATGATGTTTAGGAAGATGTTTCCAATACTGTCCAATTCCAACCCTCCTCCCCCTTTGTATACATGCAATCCTTACTGAGTTACGTGTTCGCTCATTTGGGGTAATGCATGCCAACAAAGATATGATATCCAGATGAGCATGGGGAGGCTGCAGGTGAAATTAAAGATGGCTGCTGGTCTCCACAAAGCGTGAAGTTACAGTTTGTTCCTCTGAACAAGAAAACTCGCTACAATGGGGTGTGGTGCCCACGTGTCCACTGTAGCTTTCCGCGATAGTAGCCAACCCACAGTGTGTTCATGCTGTTTAATAACACCCGAAGTAATAACACAATCTTTTTGTCTAATACGAGATGAAGACAGTATTGCATCTGGTGAGTAGCCTTTCGAGTGACTTGTAATCAAGACTTTCATTTGAAATGGAAACCGCACACAGCTAAATGAAACTTCTTTTCATCAAAATATCAAGCGCTGGAAATGTGATGCCTGCATTTCAGTCACTTCATAACCTAGCAAGTTTTGGTTACCCTAGCTCAAACCTTCCACCATCCTCCAAAACTCGCCAGGAGATGTGGGAGGATTTTGCAGAATCGAAGGAAGGCACAGCCCAGCTACTGTAACGTGGCCACTCTAACTGGTTCAGCAGTTCCACCAACAGTGAATGAAAAGCATAAAACAAAGTCACTGGTTTCCTGCACAGTGGAGAATTTGGAAGGTTCCTACGTGTAGCATCAATCCTTAGGCAGACCATTTTTTGAATGACACGTCCACAAAAGCAGTGATCAGCACAGTTATAGGCATACAGCTTGCTTCGGCCTTTAAAATATGTGCTCAAACTGTACATTTTAAATATCAAACAATTCTACAGCCATTTCTCAATTTCAAGAGGGTGCCGAGGAAAAAAAAACCAGATACATGTGCAGTCAGATACATTACGGAAACCTGCTGACCAAAAGTACACAGACAAATTAACATTTCAATAAGGATGACATTCCCATCACTCACTTGTAACCAAGTCCTGTTGCCAGGGCAACTAAAGGGAGCAGGAATTATCATGCAAATTGTTTTTCCTGTGCCCCTTATTCTCACCTTGAGTATTTTCAGCTTATCCATCCACTTGCAGCCGTCCTTGTAGAAAGAGCAGCGGACAGCCAGTGACATGATCTCCTCTGACATCTTGTCATCGGGGTAAATCTGTCAGATTTATCAAGACAGGGAAACAAAAGAAATAAAATGCGCACCGGTTGAGGGGCTGGTGATGACGTTCCACACAGGGAATTGCACGTGCCATAAGTCTTTGTCCAAGGGTTGAAATATATTACTAGGATTAAATTTCAAATCTGTGTGGACACAACAATGGCTACTGCAGAATATTATGTGACACACTGAAAGCAAAATATAAATGCATGCATTATCCCTAACCATTTGAACGATTTGAACCAGAAAAAAACAAAAATCATTTGGTACATCTTTTATTTATAAAGCAAACATTGGTCTTGTGCTATATCTGTTATAAATGTCAAAAAGGCATATGCACTGAATAATGACACGTAGATTATTACATATATACAATTTCCACAGCTTCCGAAGCTCGCTCCGAGGCTGAGCGTGAGGTCTGGTTACTCATAGCGGTAGTCAGGGTTTCAGGCTGTGCATTTGACAACTGACGAGCGTCCACATTTGGCCTCAATGAGAAAAAAGGGCCTCCAAGGTGATGACAGTTTGATTATTTTACATGCATTTGTGTGACAAACAAAAAGTGTCCAAAATTGCCTGTAATATGCTCAAAAAGATGCAAAGACGTACATTGCAAGTAGCAACAGTCTGTCTTAAAAGCAAGAGCCAGTGCTGAACTGCATCATCATTTGTTATATGTTCTGTGGCCTGAGTTACACGGCTCCGAAGAGTGACATCCGATGTTGGGGTAAAGCCTCAGCATCAACCTTCAGCGCAAGAGTGTCTCAAGGAGGGCGCGGCAAAAAAATACACCGATGACTGACATTGCGAATTAAGGAAAGGACAAGAGAGCGAGGAGAGAAAAGAGGATGAAGTCAGACTAAAAAAGGAGCAGGAGCTGAGTGACAAAGAAGCAAATAAATTATGTGAAATCTCCTGGCAAAGTAAGATGGAAATGGGCACAAGCTATAATGGAAAAAAAAATGCTAAAAACCTGAAGGGGGGAGAGTTTTTTAATTTTCAAATTTAATATTCGATACATGTATCTAAACATTCTGCAAGGATCCAAACATCAGGCCCTCTGACTTTTTGATGGAAGATAAGCATTAAGGAAAACATTTGGCATCTGCCATTTCACAAATACAAAATTGACACTTTTAAAGCCTCTTTTGGTCGGCAACTTTGCTTTTTCACACATCCATAGCCGCAATCTTTAAACTGCCACAACTTGTCAAAGGAGCATCTGACAGGAACTCCACAGTATCATTGAGGAGACTTTAGTCCGCTATTCTCATACCAGCTAAATCTCATTTCAGCCTCTGTCCAATTTCTGACTCACTTTGCCAGGAAGGAACAGGAAGTTGAAAAGTCTGGAAGATGAAGTAAAGATAAAAATCTGAATGCTAAGATAGGGTTTCTCTTACGGCTCTGAATGTCGTGAGCTCTGCAGTTGGCACTTGCATCACAGCAGATAAAGAAAATGAAGGCGAGGAAAACAGTCTGTGAAGTAACCAACAAAATTCTGCTCCAAAGCAGAGAGTGCAACCGTCCAAGTGACGCGTTAACGAGATTACATCAATCTTGGCCTCGAATCCAGGATGTTCCTGAGTGCAAGCGGCACCCCGGCAAAGGAGGAATAATCTTGCTTATTTGTTCAGGCCCGGGTTGGTCTCTGCGGTTATATGTCGGCCACGATCTTCCCAGTCACCAGGGCCAACTTGACAAATGATGTGCCGCTACGCGGTGGAGGGACTTCTCAATGAGGCAGGCACGAAAGAGGAACGGGACCAGAGAGATGGAAAAAAAATTGTGTTTCTTGACAAAGTGCATCTGCGGGATGATTTTTAATATCGTCGAGCTCCGTCAGGCGCAATGATGGACCTGGCGGCAGTTCATCATCGCAAATTACACAACTTGCAGTGGTGGCATCGAGGAGCTACATGCGGCAAAATGAAAGGAGAAATTGGACGAATGGAGCGTGGCCAGGCGACGTGACCACACGCTTCCATTTGCATATTTGGTAAGTTAACAGCTGGGGTAATAAATTTTCAGGGAGATGTATGGAGACTGGAATGTGGATAGCTAACTTTTTTTGGTGGTCTTCGACTTTGCTCCATTTGGCGGGAGCTAGGAAGACTTCAAGTGGTGTGAATCTGCGTAGGGGACTGAGGGAGACGGGAAGGGGTGGGGATGTGGGGAGATGTACGGAAGGGAGTGCTAAACATCACAACACTTTTAAAGGGGCACACCCCTTAACCTTTGGCTGCATTCGAATCTCTTGCCTAGAGCTAGGTCTAGGTCTTCGCTCCACTGGAAATGCGTGGAGACGCACAGACCTAGCCGTAGCTCTGGAAGAGCGCCCGTTTCGGACATGACCCTGCATCAAAATGGTTTATTTTGACAAGCTTTGGTATTTTTTCTCCTTTTTTCACTACTAATGAATACATTTTGCCTCTAGGGAAATAAACAAAACCCTATATACCGCTATCCCCCCCCAATGATTATGGTCCTGAAGGATTCAAATGCCATTACAATTGGCATTTGTACATTCAAAATGATCAGCTGAAAATAGAGATTAAAATATGTTAAGTTTATTTCGAACTTTGTTAGTTCCTGACGATGAGTTTGGGTCGTAAGTGCAGTGTAGTGGACACATTTGATTTTTTTCCTTTGGAGCAACTTTTTTTTCCTTTTTGACAATGAACACAGTAACAAATAAGATCCTAGCTGGAACACCAAATGGTAAAATTTCAACCTACTGAGATCAAAACCAGAAATAGTCAAATTGGGAATTTTTTTTCTTCTTTTCGATTAACAACCTCCCAACTACACTGTTTTATGATCACATCCAACACATCTTGAAGGACATGCATGATTGATGGGGCACATATGGACAGCAATCAGCAAGGCTTAAGCAAAAAGTAAACATTCTAACGCTAAACGGTCATCTCCTACATCTGCCTTATGCAACTTTCAGTTTCATGACAGGACAGGACTTAACCCCCCATCCCTATCTTTGCCAGGCTTAAATCTGTTAGATTTATGTGGCGACGTTGCTGTGGTGCAACGCAGGTGCCAGCTTTCATCAAGTTGATAGACTAACGAGACTAGCCCTCTGACATATTCATTGGATTAACTGATTTCAAAAATGGACAGGATCTGGGTGCAGTCCATTGGAAAAATAATCAATTTATGAGATGCAGATTAGTTGGAAGGGACGATGGCAGAGGACATCTTTAAGAGATGACAAAAACGCCAAAAAGCGGTAATAAAAATTTCCTTCTCTACATCATGTTGACCCACAACAATCCCTTCTATAATTGAAAAAAAAAACACATGGGACAAAAGAGCACAAAACACTTCCAAAGGCAAGTAAAGATGAAAATTCCATTCTTTGAACCAAAGAATACCCCGTGCTGATCTCTGATGTTTCCTAGATTTTACCAATTACAAAGCCTCAGCAAATGCTTTCATCCCCCTCCCCCCGAAAAAAGAAGAATCTTTCATTAGAGGCAAGAACTACCCCATGCCGACCCCTTCATCCTGTAACGGTAATCATTAATACCGAGAACAAAACGTCAAGACGCAAAATCATCCGTACTCATTGAAGATTCAAGGACATGCTCTCTGCAGTGAGGACCATCATTGGATAATCACGCCGCGGCGCACACAATAGCTGATACGATGCCTGAAATAGTTTCCCATCACAAGGGGAAAATGTTCGGAGCACTAGAAGAGAGGCCACTTACCTTAGCGTAATCTAAGGGAAGCCGATCTTCAGGACACTCAAAGACACCAGCACTGCAGGAGGGAAAACGAGGAAAGAGAGGGGAAAAATTAGGGTTGAGAATGCAAGGCGGGTTAAAGAGGCAGGAGCGTCTGAAGTGGACGCTGGAAGATGAGGCTGATAATGATGTCATTGACCAACGACTTGTTGGAGGACCTGGAAAATTGAAATCTGCTGGGTGATAAAGGAGAGAACAATATCTAAGGGGTCTTGGAGGTGTGGGCTTACAACAGGGTTTGCAAATCACATTGGGTCAGGGCAACCATCTTTCCGGGGAAGCTACCTGAAGAAACAATTCATCAACTATCTTACCCTCCATATTTACAATATTCAAAATTATACAAATTATCTAAATTCCCAGGCCACTTCATATACCCATTTTCTAGAGTACCAAATTGCACCAATGTCAAATTCAGATTTTGTTTCCAACCACTTCATCAGTTACTCCTTGAACAAAGGTTATCTTATATAAGAATGTTAATAATAATGGCACAACATACAGTGGTGAATCTTGTTTTATTGAATATCTCTTGTGAACAGAATCCCTGACATCCTAAGCTTATCCCATTAGATTTTAAGGGTGAGAAAATAACAGGAAAGATTCTGGTGCCAACTGCATTGACTGAGATAAATAGGCCTTGAAAAATAAAACAATAAAAAAAACCCAATCAAAAACAAATACTGTTCTAGATACCAGGCCAGAATTGGAAACTCCTTTAAAGTTCCATCACGGACAACCTAACCTACCAGGATCAGACCAGGGGACACCATATGCACAGTATGCAAGCCACGTCCAAGTTGTCTCAGGCTGAGATGTTTCAGGACCGATCTGCAGAGAAGTCGGCCATCCTCCAGACAATAATTCCAACCCAAGCTCTGCCTGAATAAACTAAAAACCTTCAAGGCACAATCCCGGGCAGCTCAGTGTGTCCATATGGAGCTGAACATACTGCTTACCTCATCACCATGCCCCGAGGCACAGCCCCAGCAGATCAAACCCCATGATCTGCCGCCTGTGACTGATAAATGCCCAGAGGGGAGGAAAGCTCACTGGCTGGGAGCAAATTGCTGACAGCTAATGATATAAACCTACATCATGTGGAGGAGAGCCTGCTGGACGAATGTTACTACCCTGCAAGAACAAAACTGAACCAATACAGGGGTATACCCCATGTATACCTAATCTTGTCAGAGCTGTTATCTGTGATGACTGATGGGAGGAACTGTTATCCCTGGCTGTCATTTGGCACTGTTCAATTCAAGGACAACATATGGTTCCAAGTTGAGGGGTGCATGCTTACCCATGGAAGAACACAAAATATATCCATCCTGGTCGGTCTTTGTAAACCTTCATAGGGGTACCAAAAACATGTACCAAATTACCCTGCCCTGAATCCTGCACACAAATCCTGTTCAGGTTCCAGGGTTTACCTTTTACAATATCAGCACAACTTGTTTAGAACGTCAAGATGTTTTAAAATAGTCATACAATTTTATCACAAGGAAAATTTTATCACCGTGGAAAAGCAGGATTGAAGGCCTAAACCCTATGTGACTCTCAATGGTGCTAAGTTTTTTAAGAAAGGTTTTGCTGCTAAAGTTACCACGCCTTTCAAATTTAAATTGAAGTTTTCTCTTGCCATTACTTCTTACTTCTTTGGTCTTCATTTGGGTGTCCAAAAACTAGAGGGGCAATTTTAACCATGGTAATCTGAGAGGAGTTATGATTTTCAACTGAAGTAAAGACGTGAAATACTGGAAAACGAAATCATTACCTTTTCGATCAAATTATTAAAACTTTGATGATATAAACCCAATATTTTTAACTAGGAAGCAGCCTAGTCTTCTTTGCTCAATGTCAAAACTGAAACAGTGCAAAAACCTGACCTTGCAGTGACTAACTGCCGCCGGCAACAAACCCACATGATAAGGATGGTCACGTCATCATGGCCCGGCAATGGCATAAATTTTTGAACATTCCCCGGCTAAGAAATTACCCAAGCTCTCGGATTAATTATGCATAGCTTCTGGTGATGGCAGCTGCTTCCAGCTCCATGCCTCGAGGCAATGTGGAAGGGGCAAAATATGACCAAGCACTGGGGCAAACATCCGAAGACCATGAAATTACTCTCTGTACTTTGATAAACCCTCACACTAGTGAATAGGGTCCTGCTAAAGTTAGGACTGGCATGACAAAGTCCAGGCGTGAGGAACCAACCGAGGATGTTTCAAACCTTCGAATTTTGTATAAAAACCACTATAAAAAGCTATAACTTACTCGGATTGCCTGTGAGGTTTCCATGATAAAAACTTATGTATTCATTGCTGTAACAGTCAGAGACAGTCAAATATTCCTTACACTTGATTTGCCACAGTACACACTACATAGACACACAGGGGTCATTTGACTGATTTTGACCAATAGGACAGCTTTGACAACAATGCATTTCTGTCTACATGTAGCTGATATAACTGTACATGTAACAATGAAGCCAGGTTTGGGGGAACACTTCACAATAATCCAGGTACAGCCTAGGGGATAGTTTTGGGCCAGAAAATCACCATCTAAAAATGGCAAGATACATCGGCGAAATTTCAATATGACGTCAAA